AGAGCAGTGAAAAGTTGTCACTAAAAATACTTTTGGATAAGAATGTTGAGTGTAGAAGATTCTTGAAGACCCAAAATATTTTTGCTTAAAATAAATCAACTATTTCTTTTTTCTTCAGAATCTCCATAACGGCGACGTCAAAGTCGCCTTGCTCAGTGATCTTCACATAGGTCCTACTGTTGGGCAAAAGAGAATGAGCAGAATTGTGGAACTGACAAATAAATTGAATCCAGGTCTGTCATTCTTGCGGATTTTGGTTCCATATGATTTTTAAGGAATTGTTGTATGTGTTTAATATTTGTTTTTTAAAAGATATCGTAGCAATTTCTGGAGATCTCGCTGATGGTTTTGTCAGAGATTTTGAGGGTGCAGCTAGTCCATTATGCTCATTGAAAGCTAAATACGGAGTCTATTTTGCAACAGGTAAAGGAAAATCTTCCTTCCAGTTCTTCTCTTCTTCTATCAAGTCGTTTTGTTTACTTTAGTACATTTTCAACAGGTAATCATGAATATATGCATGGCAACGTTGAGGAATGGTTTGGTTATCTGGAAGGATGTAATATAACTGTACTCCACAACTCTCAGAAACGACTTTTGTTGCCTAGTGGTGATAAAGTATGTGTTGCGGGTGCTGACGATCTTTATGCAGCTAAAGCTCAGTACGTCATTTTTGGGAATTTCAGCACTTACGACCTTATTTTTCGAAATTTCACGAAGTAGCATTTATGGACAGTTTTTGCAGGCTAAATTGATATTTTAGCTTTCCTGGACACGGCATGGATGCGCAAAAAGCTGTTGTTGGCTGCCAACCTGGTGATGCAGTTATCATGCTTGCTCATCAACCGAACGCAGCTCGTGTGATGCTTGACGATTCTTTGGTTAGCAAAAGAGTGGATGTCATCTTGTCAGGTAAAGTTTTCCTATTTTTACGTTCTCTCTTCTTAATATTTAACCACTTCTGTGTACGCAGGCGCTTTAGAATTTTCAAAAATTGTTTATTTATCTTTTTTTCAAACGGGATAGTGAACTACCACTCTTTCCATCACTCATACGCGACTCCTAACAAATTGTCTTTAGGTCATACCCATGGCGGCCAAATGTATTTATTCGTCCCAATAATATACCTTGTAAATGCTTTTGCGAGGTCAGTTTCTTTATTGTTTTCCAGAAATTCCGTAAAATTGTTCCACTTTCAGAGGTTTATACTATAACGAACCAACGGGAGTATATGTATATGTCTCAGCCGGTGTCAACTTTTTCGGGCCACCCATAAAAATGTTTGGCGCATGTGAGATTATCGATATTAACTTGAAACCAGTGATCTAATTTAGATTAGCTTGTTTATGTCGTTAGTTTGTTTATGTACTAGGTTTTTAGTTGTTGATTGTTCTTGAATGGTGCAATAAATTTTATTCTAGTAAATAATCA